TAATGGTCATGGGTCCCTTTACCTTTTAAAGTGCATTTTACACAGTACTTCTCATCTGATTTTTCCTATTATGACTTCCAGAAGGAAGGAAGTACCGCACTACAGCTTTTCCATCCATAGCAGAACTCAAATGTGTTTCCATCCATGAAAATGAAGAGAGCATACTCTGACCTGCTGATTTAATTCCAAGAGACTGTATCAGCTTAGCTCACTTGGTACAACTGCTGTGATGTAGAACTGCAAAGAATAAGGGGTGTGTGTGTGTGTGTGTGTGTGTGTGTGTGTGTGTGTGTGAAAAGGCATTTCTTTAAGGCATTCAGTAGTTCTTTGCTAGGGCACAGAGCATTTACTGTCTTTTATGACTGGATTAAATCATTATTGCAGCTAGTTTTTAGCTTGAGTGTTACAGGCAGTGACTCATGCCTGCTGAGCATGTAATCTAGAGGATATTGCAGAGGCAAAGGGGAGTAGTAGCAACAACTAAACTACAGGACTCTGATCAGGTCTGATCGCCAGATTTCCTTTTTTTCTTGCTTTTTGTGACACGGTTGCTCTATATAAAATTCACACAGTCTGGGAGGCATGGATCAGTGTAGAAAGATCAGATGCTTCAAGTTTTCCTAATAAATAAGAGCCCTGCTGCATGAGTACAATGGCCTATCTAATTCAGCATCCTCTTCTCACAGTAGCCAACTGAACGCTTCTAGGAAGCCTTCAAACAAGACATAAGTGCACCTCTCCACTTGCAACTGGTACTGAGAGGCATGCTGCCTCTGGCAGTGAAGGCAGAACATAGCAATCCCTACCTTGGTTCTGTACCAGATCTCTCCATTAAGTCCATAAGGCAGCTTCGGCCAAACCAAGCCACGCTCACCTGCCCCACACCTGATGTTGCGCATCAAGCGTGGGACTGACTGGTAGAGACGTAGCTGCACTTTGCAACCACTGACAATCAGCTCTAGAATCTGCACCGTAAAGCGTCTGCAGAATTCGCTCTGCAACATAAAATATGGTCTGCAAGATTCTGCCCTACGGCAACACTAGTGGCAGGTTGACCCTAATGCATGTGATTTGATTGTGCACATTGAAGTGTTGTGTTGTGGTACTTTCACGTTTCTCTATGCCGGAAAGTTTATGTTGTTATAATCCTTCAGAAATATTTGCAAGAGCTACAAGAATTTCCGAGCGGAGATTTCTCGCGGCGAGTTTGAGTCATGTTTAATCCACATCATTCTGTGTTTCTGCGGTGAAGAACTAAGTTTAGCTCGTCACTATGCTTTCCCACAGAACGTTTCTGAACACAGTAATAGTAACATTAAACTTGATGCCCGAAGGACCAATTGTAGAGGAGGGTCACATTTGCCTTCATTTCAATTAACCCACTTGTCAGATGCAATGCTATACATACTCAGCAGACTGCCCCAAAGTATTTCTTATGCTCTTTTAGTGGGGTGGACTAAAATCATACTATGCTATTTGCTCCACACATGTAACGTTGGAAGCAATCAGCCTTGGTTTAAATTAACTTGAGAACAAAAGCATTTGGGAGCACATTCCTGTGCACGTACATTAATAAGTTCAGTGCAGCTTTGCGTCCAGTTCATCTTACCCCCTACAGGAAGTGTTTAGGAGCACAGTCTTAATTCATATAATTTGTTCATGTGCACTGTGGCTTCAGAAGGGATCTTCCTTGTTTAAGGGGGTTGCAAATTCACAGAATGTAACTGAGCAGAAGCCACAATCCCACAGCATTGCTTATTTTAACCCATGAATACTTGTATTCAACTTTATTTATTGTAACACATGCCGACTTCTTTTCATATAAAAGCAAATTCGCATTAAAACAGTAAGAACCCACAGACTACTGTTTTCTGCAGTCTGCTTCCTTGAAAATTTTACGCAAAGCATGCCCACGGTATGCACAGATTATAGAAATTAGCTTCTCGTGGTCCAGTAGTGCATGGAACTGAGCTAATTGTCTCCCTCTTCATGAATTACAGTAAATAGGATATGCTGAATAAGGAGATGTCCATGAATATTATGAATATAATGTTACAGATCTGGGATAATTGAGTTTGGGGGTGCAAGGGCACGTATAACTGCTAGAGTTAGTGAATGTTAGAAATGAATAAACTGTAGAATTTAGATAATATTTGGAGTATTGAAGAAGGGAAGATGCCAGTCCAGAAGTTGTAAATAATGGCAAAAGTTGCTGGAAGCAAGTCATTAACCTATCAATAAAAAACATCATCAGGGCAAGAGATTCTCTTCCAGTGGACCAAGCGGGGAGTTCCCATGGTTACCATTGGCGGTGGCAAGGTAGGCTTAGGATTTCAGCAGGAAATCCATAGGAAAACAGTGGAGGGGGCAGCCTGTTTTCCTGCCCTACAAGGCTTGGATTTTTCCAGTAAGGGTCTTTGGGAAGCAGAAGAGTGGAGCCAGAACTCCAGGCAGAACCCTCTTAGCAAGGCACAGAGCTGGGATACAGGATGCCATAGACTCCAATGCTGTACTACTGAATCGGAGCAAATGTCAAATCTGCAGAAAACCCAATGGATCGTTTCAGCAGTAAAGAGCAGGTTTCCCTAGGAGAAAGTGGTGGGACAAGTGGAAACGTGGACAAGCTTCTAAGTGGGAGATGTGTAGCCTCACACTTCCTTCTGAGGGTTACCTGTTGGGTAAGAATGGGATACCTTGCATGTTCTACCTGCCATGAGGATTGGGAACCCAGGAAAATGAGGATGGAGCCTATAATGTTTTAGATACCATTTTTATTTCACAAACCCAACCCACACATGTAATTTTGTTATCCACGATTGTTTCAAAAAGTTTTACTGAGTTTTCTTGATAATCATTTTATAGATAACTGGGGTTTTTTACAGTTCTGCTGATTTTATCTGTGTCATATTGATAGTTCTATTAGCCAGTCTTCTGATTCAGCAGCCCATAAAGCTTTCTAAACAAATACATACATGTTTTTTACCGGTCTGGGACGCAGGTGGCGCTGTGGGTTAAACCACAGAGTCTAGGGCTTGCCAATCAGAAGGTCAGCGTTTTGAATCCCCACGATGGGGTGAGCTCCCGTTGCTCGGTCCCTGCTCCTGCCAACCTAGCAGTTCGAAAGCACGAAGTGCAAGTAGATAAATAGGTTACCTTCTGGCGGGAAGGTAAACGGCGCTTCCGTGCACTGCTCTGGTTTGCCAGAAGCAGCTTAGTCATTCTAGCCACATGACCCAGAAGCTGTATGCCAGCTCCCTTGGCCAATAAAGCGAGATGAGCACCACAACCCTAGAGTCGTTCGCGACTGGACCTAATGGCCAGGGGTCCCTTTACCCTTTACCTTTACTGCTCTGATTGGCAGCAGCTCAGCAACACAAGATCCTGAACAAAATAATCTACTCCTGTTTGCTAACAGAAGTCAAAAGCCCTGCTCTTATTAATTCTGAAAGGGCTCCATTCTCTCTACAGCTCACCCCAAGTGATGCCAATTGGAATCAAAGGGATTTTCACACTGAGATATATTAAATGAAAGGAAACTTTAGATGAGAAGCAATTTATTTTGCCAGCAGCTTAGAAGTATTCCCTGGGCTATTACAGAAGATATATTTGTCATAAAGAAGAAATATCACTAGCATTCTCCTCTGCTTGATCCTGAAAAGAAGATTAATCTTGTTTTTAATGCTTATATCCTCTGACGTGAATGTGCACGCTGCAGATTGCTTCCTTAGCTTTGGAAGAGTGCCTTAATACATGGTACAGGTAGCACTAAATGGCAGGCCCAGACATTAGCAGGGGCATTGATTCCTGCTCTTTTTCCAGATGTCTAAATACTTAGAACTGGCTTTGCAGAGTCTCGTCTATGTGCTTGGAAATTTCTCTGTGGCTCTCAGTTTGAAAGGTGTCCCCAGTGTAAATGCATCTTTTTTAATACTGTACTCGGTTCAGGGAATTTATTTCCACCCTATTGTCTCCGTGCCTTCTGGAGACACAGCCTAGAGGCAAGTTCCCTTGCAGCGCTGCCTTACTTTGTTGTACTGTGTGATGCACGTAGTCATCTTTGACAATTTTAAACTCTGCACAGATTAAAGCGTTTCCAAGCCAGCTGCAAGGAAAGCTAGTTCTATAGAAAGGGAACCGAGCTGAGAAAATTCTAGCCTGGGCTTTGCTGCAAAATTTGCAGGCTAATTAAAAATAGTTCTGTGCTGCCTTTCAAGCACAGCAACAAGACGGTGCACAACAACATAAGCACAACCACCTTATAATTCAGGATAAAACTGCAGCTGCTAGATCAACAGTTAAAATCAAGCCAACTGATAAAAAAAGCCAGCAGAGGCCTCAGAAAATAAATGCATTTTAAGAAAGCACTGAGAATGCCTCAGTTTAGTCACAATTCAGAGGGAATGGGTTTAAGATCACAACTTCCTGCCAAGCCAGTCACATAAATAAAGCAGATGGGTTCTAATCTATCTGGAGGAGGGCACCACAGTGGCTACTCCTCCTGCTCTACCTGTATATGACTTTTAATGAGCCCTCTTTTTCAAATGTTGAGGTACAGTTACAGTTGCCATAGAAAGGATGGTTTATTAATAATCATGATGTCTTTTGAACAACAGGCATGGGTGTTACTTTTATTCTTGGATATGTGAGTCAGAACTATTGTATGCACATGAAATACTAGGTTGGCTTTCTGTGATTAGGAGATTAGGCATCTATGAAAGGTGCAGGCATGCATTCTGGAGACTCAGGAAAGCTCCATTTCTGTGCAGGATTCTGTCAGTTATTCCTGTGTTGCTCATTAATTCTCCCTCCCCCTTAAATAGCAACACATTTAAATGTAATGAGGAAACATGTTTTCTTGCAAGGATCTAGTGAGGACCTTCACATGCTTTAAAACAACAACCCTTGTGCATGAAATAATGGAAGCATGTTGTGTATACTTCAAATGTCTTCTGAGGTGATTATTTCTCCTTAGAAACATTGGGGGGGGGTTTAAAACTTACTGTTTCAAAGGAATCAGGAAAATCACCATTCTCTCTTCCCAATACATTTGTTCCTCTTCTTTCCTTCTCTCTGGAATGGAAGGAAGAGATCAAAATGTAAGAAAGGGTGAGGAGTATCCCTATTCTTATCCATAATCACCGCATAGAAGATCTTCATGGGAAGAGGAGCTCAAGAGCAAAATGTAATAAGGTGGATGAACTGCAATAAAGGGGGATAAAGGAAGGGTTAAAATGAGAGAAAGGGAGCTAAGCTGGTCAGTGCCCAGATGGGAGACTTCCTGGACCCCTATGTTACCCTGAAGTCTGTTTAAAAAAGGAAGGATATAAATGTATCAAATAAATAAAACAGTTCTTCATTTGAGAGCCAGTGGGATGTAGTCATGGTCGGGGTGTTGGACTAGGGTTCAAATCTCCACCCGGCCATGAAGCTCACTGGGTGTCCCTCAGCCTAACCCACCTCGCAGGGTTGTTGTGGGAGTCAAATGTACATCACCTTGAGTTCCTTGGAGGAAAAGGTGGGACAGCAATGCAATCAATTCAATCCAAAATTAATAAGAAACTGGCAATTTCCCTAGCATCTAACAAAAAATGGTAACAGCAGCCTCCATTAGCTATTGCAAACTGAAGTTTCGTTGTTAGCACTCCAGTGCTTTCGTAATAGTAAACCTTTTTAAAAAAGCCAACCAGATTCTTTTATTTGGCTCACTTAAAATATGCTGTTTGATGTTTTCATAGGCACCATCTTAAGGCATTACTTCAGCTTTTTCTCTAGAGCTGCCCTTTCTGAAGTCATTATTACTCATTAGGTATATTGTGCAGGAAGCAGAAGTAGGTCAAGGATGAAAAGCTCCATCTTAGCGAGACGCACACAAGTATTGTACGAAGCTATTTTCAACTTTTCATGGGATTAAAATGTTTTTTTTAAAAAAAATGTTTCTGTAGGATGAAAGCTGTCACTGCCGACTTAAAAATCAATGCCCCACATGGCAAAACCTTCATTTCAGATTTCTAGCCTTTCATATGTTAAACATATTGTTTTATAATTCTAATCCAAAAAAACGATTCCATGCCGTGCATTCCATCAGGCTCTATGTACACTAAACCAAGTGTCCCTAAATAGAAGTGAGGGATATTAACAGATCTGCCTGTATCCCTGTTTACACGTGCTCATAACCCCGCAGAAACATGGATTTGTAGGGCATTTTTAATCAGGAAATAATTGCACACCACAGCAGCTCTCGTACTGTACCTATACACAGCTACTTGAATTAGCATTAAATATAATATTTATTGTTTGCTTGTTTGTTCGCAGTGCCAAAATGGTTGTCAGCAAGTAAAATGGCTTTGCCACTTCAAGCACGAAATGAGATGTTATGCAATAACAAGAGAGCCAGCTAATGCAAGCTTGTACACAGGTAACTCATAGAACCATAAAGTTGGAAGGGACCCCGAGGGTCATCTAGTCCAACCCACTGCGATGCAGGAAGCCTACCCACAACCGTTCCTGGATGGGCTTGAATCCTTTGGAGGGCAGTCTCCCTTAATGTCCGATAGTGATGTGCCTATAAACATCCAACAGAAAAGCCATGATGAGGAGGCTGAAGATTGGTACAGTGGTACCTCAGGTTCCATACACTTCAGGTTACAGACTCCGCTAACCCAAAAATAGTACCTCAGCTTAAGAACTTTGCTTCAGGATGAGAACAGAAATCGTGCTCCGGGGGTGTGGCAGCAGCAGGAGGCCCCATTAGCTAAAGTGGTGCTTCAGGTTAAGAACCTTTATACACCTTTATAGGTTACCCTCAAGTCCTGCAATCATGTGCGTTGCAACAAGCAACAACCTGGATTCCTTAGAACTCTCCTCATATGGTTCAAAAACAGAAGAAAACCCTTCTCCTTAACAGAACAGACACAACTCATGCCTCATGGTTATTCAGCGGGAAACAACAAACATGGCTAAGATGCAAAATAATAGGCGAGAAGAAGCAAGGAAGGCAAGCTAGCTATGTTTGGAGAGGTCCACTGCCATGGGCATCTATTGAGGTTTAGCAGACCTAAGAGAAGCATCAAGCAGCCTCCTCGAAAACAATTCAATAGGCTGAACAAAATGGTTTCTCAGAGGCACTCCATACAAAGGAGGATTGCATGGAGGATAAAGCCAGAAGGAAGAGTCATTGAATGACAGTAGGAATAGGTACTGAGTCATGACAAGTAGAACAATGCAGGTCTGGTTGAGCAGTCTGATGGATTTCCTGAGGCAGCTGAAAGAGGTGGTTTATTCCCAGTAAATTCAAATGGCAAGTTGATTAAGACGTCTTTGTACATGCCAGGTCTAATGAATGACTAAATAGAGGCATATGCTTGTATTAATACTAGCAAATGGTAAGGTAAAGGTAAAGGGACCCCTGACCATTAGGTCCAGTCGTGACCGACTCTGGGGTTGCGGCACTCATCTCGCTTTATTGGCCGAGGGAGCTGGCGTACAGCTTCCGGGTCATGTGGCCAGCATGACTAAGCCGCTTCTGGCAAACCAGAGCAGCGCACGGAGACACTGTTTAACTTCCCGCCAGAGCAGTACCCATTTATCTACTTGCACTTTGACGTGCTTTCGAACTGCTAGGTTGGTAGGAGCAGGGACCGAGCAACAGGAGCTCACCCCGTCACGGGGATTCGAACCGCCAACCTTCTGATTGGCAAGTCCTAGGCTCTGTGGTTTAACCCACAGTGCCACTTGCGTCCTAGCAAATGGTAAAGGCCCATAATTAGGCATTAACGTACACCCAGAACCTGTACTCCTCTGAATCCCATGGGGGGTTCTGAGTGTGAACCAGTGCTTACGTCCCCTGTTGTATTTGCAAGAACACCTGCTCATTCCAGACCGGGCAAAGCTAAAAGTGTTCGGTGGTTTGGGATCATGTTCTGAGTGTTAGCAAGTGAGCCTCTGCATTGAGTTCTGAGACATGCCTGAGTTGAATCCACAGGATCATGCCCAACATCAAAATAACCAGGTGAGCCAAAAGGAACAGCCGATTCCTCTAGATCTTCAGGAATCTGAGCACTCTGTAAATCCCTTGGAAGAGGATTTTCTCAGCTCCTTTAGGAATCTCCCTCAGGAAGAGCAACAAACAGTTATCAAGAGGCTTGACCTTATGAGCCAGACATTGAAAGAGATTAAAGAACCGGAGGCAGAGACTGATAATAGACCCAATGGCCACAACAGAATGATAACTATAGAACCACCAGAGTATTGGACAAAGATGAGATATTTGGAAGAGGAGGAGTCAGGAAATACACCCAAGAAATCCCCATTGGCAAACAATTTGCAAAGAAAAGGCCCAGTGATTACAAATGTGAGTACTTTATGTACGACGACTGAAATAATCGAACATCTGGATTATTCCACTAGCATTAGCAATAACCTGCCTCAAAAACTGGTAAACTCCGAGAGCACATCGGCCAACAATTGACTAAGAGTAAATCACTGTAAAACAATTAAACTTCTCTCATGGAATGTAACAGGGTGGACTAACAAGATCCAAGACAGTGACTTCTGTTCTTATCTACAAACACATGATATCATCTTTCTTCAAGAAACCTGGGCAAAAGAGGGCACTATGGTTGAATTACAGGGTTTTACAAGTTACACTCAACCAGCTCTTAAAACTGTAAAGTATGGAAGGCCTAGTGGGGGGCTGGCGGTGCTGGTGTCAACCTCTCTTAATGTATCAATTCAACAGTGTCCCTTGCTGACCACCCCAAATTTTTTAGTGTTGTCCCTTTCTGATAGTCTCCTGAGAAATACTTATTGCATATGTGTGTATATACCTCCAGTAAAGTCTTGTGGGGAACTGAGATCATATTGGGATAAACTTGACCAACTACTCGAAAGTATTGACTCTCTGTCACCTAACCCTCGGATTATCTTGGGAGGTGACTTCAATGCCCGGATCGGCCTTGTTTCCCCACAAAATACAATATTATCTGGTCTAAACTTGGAGGATGAACCTGAAATCTGTCAGAGGGCAGCAATGGACACCACCTCTAATCGCGCTGGGAAACATCTTTGTGAACTTATAATAAAGCATAACCTTTTGTTATGCAGTGGGCACGGTCAAGGGGATCAAGAGAGTTATTTTACTTTTACCTCCCCCAGAGGATTTACTAGCACCATAGATTATATCCTAACATCTAATAATGTGCCAGTTAACCGAGATACCTTCAGGATAATTCCTAGAGCTGAAAGTGACCACTTTCCACTTGAGTTATCTCTGACATTATTCTTTTCTCCTGCCTTTCCTAAATTATTGGATGAAACAGAATATCTGATACTTGGAAATAGAAGGTTAAAATGGAATGCACAGGTCCAAGAAAAAATGATTCAGATCCTGGATTCCCATGAATTTGCTTTATTAAAGGGGAAAATGTTGTTAGAAACAGGAAACGTAATTGGACTTTATGAGAACATAATCAACCAAATGCGCCCACTGATGACCACAGCTAGTGTGATAAAAAACAAAAAGTTTAAGAGACAGACTTGGTTTGATAAGGAATGTCAGAATAGCAAAAAATACCTAGCTAGGGTACTTAGAAAATTGAAGTTAAAACAGGATAAGCACAATCTTGCCCTACAAGCTGAGGTAGCCCAGTTACGAAACAACTATAAATTATTACTTAAAAGCAAGAAACAAATATATTATGAACAACAGTGGAAAGAATTGGGAGATGCAGCACTTCAGAAGGACTCACGGAAATTTTGGCATCTGGTTGCCCAAGGCACAAATGCGCTGGGCTACTCGTTAGAAGCATCTGTCCAAGGAAAGGATTGGGTGACATATTTTACAGAAATATATGGCCCCTGCCCTGACCTATCCCCACAAGTTTACTATACCCAGTTATCAGAACTGCCAGAATGGCCAGACGTCACGCCCAATCAAATTAAGAGGCTAATCGCAAGCCAACTAGCTAATAAAGCTCCAGGAGAAGACATGATCCCAATGGAGATCTATAAAATAAGACCTGATTTCTGGTCACCCATATTTGCAAAATTGTTTTCATACATTAACAGCTCAG